TCTCTCTCTCTCTCTCTATATATATATATATATATATATATATATATTAACATCTCTTATGTAATGCCATCAAAAGTTATGGATGCAACAGGACCTCCAAAAAGATTGGAACGTCCCTGCATAAAACAAATACCAACATGTATCAATCGAAAAAAAACTTGATATCAGTTAAATCAAATATACAATATGATTAACTGATGATGATCATGATTTGTTAAGGTGTCAAGTCTTGACTTCGCCGTCACGTTAACCCCTATGACCTCACTATAAGGCATGGCGTGCATTCTAATTTGCTATTGAGCGTTACAATGCATTATGACACATTATGTTGTAAGGTGTTGGGTTTTTTTTTATATATATATATATATATAACTCGAGAAATAGATGATAATTATGTACGAGACCTAAAACCTTAATATAAATAAAAAGGAAGCTTAAAAACTAAAGCCTTAAATCGGTAAATAGTTACTCCAAATCTTGTAAACAAAGACTCGAACATGAACAGTTTGAAAATTGAAGAAAACAATAAGTAGAGATTCAAGAGCTTTAATCATGGATTTCACTCTTGATACGTGATATCATTTTTTTTTATAAGTTTTATATATTTGGTATCAATGATTTATCGTTCTTTTTTAGTTTATTACTTTATACGAATCTAATTCGGTATATGATATTTTTAAAACAACAATACACACAAGTTTGTGTATGTGTCTATATATATGCCACCTTAGAGCACCTCGTCGTAATTCGTAACAGGGTCCAGAGACGGATCCAATTCAGTGCCACCGTGTTATCCCTCAGTCGAAAGGTAAAAGAATTAGGTTCATGAAAGGTGCAACCATTTTGATTTGTTGTATGCCACCATATATATTTTGAAACTACAATAAAACAATTTTTTTTTGGTAGAGTTGGTTTGCAAGACTTTTCTTCCATCTCAAACCTGAGTTCAAATCTTATTAGTGTCATTTTTTTAGTTTTTAATTTCAGATTCGTTATTAATCTAAAAAAAGTTGTTATAAAAAACTTGAACACAAGATCTCACATATGAAAAATAATGAACTAACCAACATCCAAATTATGATTTTATAGAAAATATTTTGATATTTATTTCTTACAATTAAATGATGGTACCGTTTACAAAAAATAAATCCATCTCAACTCGTAAGATTTAAGATTTGACGTTGTGTACTCGTCATATATCTTGTTAATTTATGACCTCAATGCATGCTTGCTTTATATTTTAATAAAAAACCAATTTTTTGGCCTGTTATTTGAGGGAAAAGTGAATTGTTTGCTTTAAATTTTAATAAAAAATCAATTTAGCAACTAATTTTAATTAATTTTTACAGTTAATCTGTGAGTAATTTGATTAAATTATTTTCTATTTTTTTAATTTATAAAAATGTCAATGAAATATATTTTATTTTTAATCAAAATAAATTTCATTAGTAATTTTTTTAACTGTAA